AAATGCAATAAGGTTATATAAAAGATTTTTTGCAACAAATGAGTTATACCAATTAAATATTTTATAAAAACTTAGGGGAAATGGCTGTACAATATACATTTACATAGTGGAATATCATTAAAAATAGGCTAGATTTACATGAAATTTGGACCGCTAATAGGTCTAACCCCAAAAGGAACAATAGGCTATATAAGATCTTGATTGGATGACACGCCCCTTTTTACGCCCACTTTTTGTAAGAATATTATTACACCAATTTTGCAATCACAATATGCAACAACTACTATACCGATTTACCTAAAGATTGCAAAGAACTATAGGCTATATAAAATATATTGATCCGATGTCACGAGAACTTTTTGTTAAACAATTACATATTATACCAAATTTTCTTTCAGGCGTACAAAAAACAGCTGATCCGATTTTCATGAAATCTGTTATAATGAATGTTGTGGAATGAACAGTACGACACATTACATTTTCAAAACGTATAAAATATAATAAGATATATATAATAACAGCTATAACACGAAATTTCTAGGCTAAATGTAAAAAACAGGAACCGATTTTCAAGAAATTTGTTAACATACAGTGTATTTTTGGAACCAACTTTTTGGTCTTTATAATATTTAGCATGACAATTGTTCTATCGTGGAAGGTTAGGTTAGTTTGAGGAAGAGAATGTTTAATACATCAAATCCGAATAAAGACATCTATACCACTAACTTCGGGCCTGTTGTGATCTTATAGAAATGCAATGACATTTTTCCGTCCACTTTTTGTTACATTTATAATGCTAAAGATCAAGAAAGTGTATGAGAATTATTATTTAAATACATTTTCAATCAAACATTTATTATACCCTTCACCGTCGTGAGAAGGGTATATATAAGTTTCTCATTCCGTTTGTAATTTCTAATTTCTAATTTCCGAATCTTCAATAATTCTATTAGACATGCCTCCGAGAAGATCGCTATTTAAAATCAGCAGAATCGGTCCATAAATACCGGAGATATGAGCAAAAATCATAAAAAGACAATTTTTTTCATGCTTTGATGTAAGCAACAACAACACTGCTTATTCATTGAGTATTTCGTTTCGTATGTTTGGATGGCTGTGTGTTTCATTGTCTTGTGTATATTGTTTTTATTTCCTGGTACATTCAGTTTCGTATGTTTGGATGTCTGTTGCACAGTGGTATAGGAAAAAAAAAGGGAAATAATTCGGTAACTTCTAAACGGTTAATCCGATTTTGATGAAATTTGGTATGCACAAAGAGGAGGTATTGTCGAGTTTAGGTTTTGAATTTGGACCTTATAGGCCAACCAAGGGCCCGGCGGAGGGTCCTCAAATTAGGACACCTCGGCTATGTTAAATTTTTAAAACGATCCTATTTCTTCAGTTGAGTTCCGATTTAAAAAAAATTTCGTATATAGAATCTCCTCATCGAGCACTATAAAAAATGTAGCAGTAAATTATCTCTTACAGTTTACGAGATATTCGCATTTGAAAATTAAAATTTTAAAATTTTTACCGTCCTTACTTTAGTTTTTTCATAATAGCGGGTCCAAATATTCCCGATTTTCGCCATTTTTTTTTATTCGCTTAACAACAAGTTTACATATCAAGCAGTGAAAGAATTATGTAAAAATCATGACTGAGTCCAAAGTTATAGGCATTTTAATTTAAAAAATTAAAAAAGGCGATTTTTTGCAATTTTTTGGGGAAAAAAGTATCTTTTTCTTTTTAAGTTATCTAAAAAGTTTCTAAGAAGATGTATATAGAATTTATACTTTTTGGAAAGCTGACTTTACATAAAATACGATAAATGAAACAAAACCTAAAAATTTTTGATACTGGGACCAGGTCCATCCAAAAAAACACTATTTTTTATGGAAAATTCAATTTTGAGCAAAAATTCTCAAATCGCATAGTCGATATCAAATTATAGGGACCTGTTTTATATGACCCAATATGTTCTTAATCATTTTGTAACGGGTTTCGATAACCCCGACCCTGGTATGGATATAATAGGCAAAAAACCAAAAAATCCCATTTTTGGGATTTTTTAAAACTTTTTTGGGAATTCCGGGATTTCTAATAAGAAAATTCGAAATTTTTATTTAATTTTGGATTTTGAGTAAAAAAATCTACCTAACTGTAAAATTTCATCAAAAAATATTCATAAATAAAATTTTTATTGCAATTTGAAAAATTTGTATCTTCGCAAAAACTGAATAAAAAACATTTTTTAATTTTTTTTAAAAAAAGTATTCCGCGAATTTTTTAATTTTCAAAAATTATATACAGTTTTGAAAAATAGACAAAATTACCTTTCCATTGATATATAACATGCCTACCTAATGTTTTTTAAGTGACAAATTAATTAGGGAAAACTCAACATCTTTTAGAGAATTTACCTAGTACTATTATTTTCATCCATAAGGTTAACTTTTAAATTTGTTACATATATGGATGAAAATAATAGTGCTAGGTAAATTTTCTAAAAGATGTTGAGTTTTCCCTAATTAATTTGTCACTTAAAAAACATTAGGTAGGCATGTTATATATCAAAATTAAAAAATTCGCGGAATACTTTTTAAAAAAAAAAAATTAAAAAATGTTTTTTATTCAGTTTTTGCGAAAATACAAATTTTTCAAATTGCAATAAATTTATGAATATTTTTTGATGAAATTTTACAGTTAGGTAGATTTTTTACTCAAAATCCAAAATTAAATAAAAATTTCGAATTTTCCTATTAGAAATCCCGGAATTCCCAAAAAAGATTTAAAAAATCCCAAAATGGGATTTTTTGGTTTTTTTCCTATTATATCCATACCAGGGGCGGGGTTATCGAAACCCGTTACAAAATGATTAAGAACATATTGGGTCATATAAAACAGGTCACTATAATTTGATATCGACTATGCGATTTGAGAATTTTTGCTCAAAATTGAATTTTCCATAAAAAATAGGGTTTTTTTGGATGGACCTGGTCCCCTCGGTATCAAAAATTTTTAGGTTTTGTTTCATTTATCGTATTTTATGTAAAGTCAGCTTTCCAAAAAGTATAAATTCTATATACATCTTCTTAGAAACTTTTTAGATAACTTAAAAAGAAAAAGATACTTTTTTTCCAAAAAAATGGCATAAAATCGCTTTTTTTTTAATTTTTTAAATTAAAATGCCTATAACTTTGGACTCAGTCATGATTTTTACATAATTCTTTCACTGCTTGATATATAAACTTGTTGTTAAGCGAATAACAAAAAAATGGCGAAAATCGGGAATATTTGGACCCGCTATTATCAAAAAACTAAAGTATGGACGGTAAAAATTTTAAAATTTTAATTTTCAAATGCGAATATCTCCTAAACTATAAGAGATAATTTACTGCTACGACATTTTTTATAGTGCTCGATGAGGAGATTCTATATACGAAATTTTTTTTAAATCGGAACTCAAATGAAGAAATAGGATCGTTTTAAAAATTTAACATAGCCGATGTGTCCTAATTTGAGGACCCCCCGCCGGGCCCCTGGTTGGCCTATAAGGTCCAAGTTCAAAACCTAAACTCGACAATACCTCCTCTTTGTGCATACCAAATTTCATTAAAATCGGATAAACCGTTTAGAAGTTACCGAATTATTTCCCTCTTTTTTTTCCTTTACCACTGTGTGCTGTTGGTTTTACTGCCTTGTGTATTTTGTTTTTTGTGTGGTGATTTCGTTTAGCGTTGTTGTTGTTCATTTTGTTTTGCTATTGCTATAATAATGAAATAGTCGGGAAAATGAAATAAAAATAAATTTTATGAAATTGATATTTATTAAATACACTATGGTGAAGGGTATATAAGATTCGGCACAGCCGAATATAGCACTCTTACTTGTTTTTATTTTAAAACTCTAAAACCTTTGTAGATCCTTTACTAACTTTACGATTAGGTAAAATAAAAATCTGTAATCAATTTAATTTATTATCAAAAATCGATTTTATGTTTTAGATGTGTAAAATCGGTTGTAGATCCGTATATAATACGGAATCGGATGTAGTTTACTACGTTCGAGAGAATGGCATATGAACATTTTTTTTATCAAAATTATATTGTTGTTGATCCGTATATACATAATAAGTACTCCCATCACTAATATTATTTCAAAACCTGTAATCGGCTGTATATCCTCAAAAAAAAAAAAAAAAAAACAATTTTAAAACATATTATGAATTACTTAATAAGACGTACATAATAAATCATAAGAAAACAAACTTTTACATACTTAGGTAAACCTATGTATATAAGATTTGCAAAAGTGCCATCTTTCGGTACATTCTAACCGAATTTATATCAAGATAATTTGTTGATGGTATATTTAACTAATCACAGATTTTTATTTTTACCTCTCAAACGATGCACGTAAAGCATGATTCATATAAAATATGGATGAATTGATTTTTTGATTTCTTTTTATACTTTTAGAAATTATCCACCAAAACAACTTTTTCTGTATATAGCGTATTTATTCCAATATTCCATTTACCATTAACAAATTCTGAAATTTTTTTTAATTAGAGGAAGACGTGGATATTTTAATAAGTAAAATTATTTGGGTATCTGCTTTGTACATCTAACGATATTTGACCTTTATTTCTTCGGATTTAATAAGTGGTGACTAAATCCAGCCAAAACTTTAGTGTGGATGCATAACAGCTAATGAATAAAAATTATATTTTTAAACATACTTTTGTATAAATGGATGTATTTTTAAGAAACAATGACGAGACAAAAACGGTGGGTTTACCGTTTAATGAAAAAATCAAAATTGTTTGTCAAATTAAAAGTTGTTTTGTTTTCTCTGTTAAGATTCAAGGATTCTTCATAGTTCCCAAACATCAAAGTAATGAGTAACAAAAAAAACTATAAGTTAAATCTTTTCCCAACAGTGATTCAAAAATTGATTTGTAAAAATGGAAATAAAAGATGAAATGTTTTTTTACTTACCGTTGGTGGTGCAGATCCTTGCAACATATCTTCATCTGTGCTAGGCACTAAAGCTAATGGAAATTGAACTCTTTCCACAAAAAGATTTTTATATGATGGTAAAATTTCAGGTATGCCGCAATTTCTATCAAACAGTAATAGCATTTCTTCTCTACCATATCGAAATTCGGGAAATGTGTTACGTGAAGCTGTAGTATTTGCTGCATTTACATTATTATGTAAACTGCTAGAATTTAGATTTGACGTACCACTGTTTGTATTGTTTACAGTTGATCCCTCTATGCCACCACCCCCTGAGTTACCGGATCCAAACACTCCCGCAGGATTTATTTGACCACTTGTATTTGTATTGGAGGAAGTTGTATCGGCTGACATGTTTCGCAACCATTCAGGACCAAATTTCATTGAATCTGTCATTTTTAGTTGATTTATTAAATGGAAGATTTAGTTTTAAATATACTATTTAAAGATGTACTTTTATTGAATTTGAAATTTTCAAAAACTATTTGCCACACCTTAGGATGTAGTGTAGTTTACAGGTATCTGTAAAAAAAAAATTAAAAAATATGTAGTACATAAAACGTAAAAATATAAAATTAACATTTTATTAATCAACAAAATCTACATACAATAGTAATAATTATATTTCTTTTGTTTAAAACAATATTTGGATGTTTTAAATAACGAAATATACAATAATACATGCATCATGTCGATTTTTTTGGTACATTTTTGAAATAACCGTTATTAGAGTTATTGATTCTGAGTGAAATAACAAACAAAAACATCACTTACTCCAACTTTTGGGAGGGCGGAACTTTTAAGTTTCATTATATTTTGAACATAAAACCCAAAAATTTACCTTTTAATTATTTTGTATATCAATTGTATTACGTTTGACTTAGAGGAAAATGTTATTATTATTATTATTATTTGTTAGATTTATAAGTAAATTATAGAATCTCAAGAACCAAAAGATGAAGAGGAATGATGATGAAGGATCACCACCACTATAGTGTAACGCATAAAAATATTGGTCATACACCTTAAAGTATACCGATCGACTCAGAATCACTTTTTGAGTCGATTAAGACATGCCCGTCCGTCTGTCCGGCTGGCTGGCTGTCCAAGTAAACCTTGTGCGCAAGCTACGGCCCACAATTTTAAAGATAGTTGGATAAAATTTGGACCATACAAGTTTTTCGGTTTTTTGGGCGATGCCTATTGAAAATGGTTAAAATCGGTCCATTATTTCACCTAGCCCCCATTCAACATGACCTTCCGATTTGGGGTTTTTAACTCATAACTATGTCAAATATACTACTATCTCACCAAATTTGCACAACTAAGTTTTATATAAGCATAAATGACCATATCAATTTTTATAATGATCGGCCGTCGTTTGACTCTAGCCCACATACAAACCCCCCTTTAAAAAATATCTTGAAAGTCCAAAAACCTACTTATAACCATTAGTATCGCTATGAAATTCAGCATTTGAGGCTCGGCCCATAATTGACCCTAACTCCCATATAAAGCTTCTTTTAGAAATTTAGGTTTTCATCAATAAATTGCTTAAATACATCGGAATTAAGCTAAAATTCAACAAATTTTTTATGAAAAATAAATAATTTTTAAAATATTCCCATGGTGTAGGGTATTATAGTCGGCCATGTCCGACTATACTTTAATACTTGTTTTTTAATAAAATAACATATTTTATGTATATTATCCTTATTTGGTATTTCCAAAAGTTTTTTGGGGTGAATGTTTCCAAAAATATTATTTCTTATAGTTTGATAATAGGCACATTCTGAGAAGAAGTCCACATTTGTTGCAGGAGGGAGCAGTTTCGAATGATAAATAGCTTAGAGGCTACGTCTCTTTTCTCAAAAAATTACCTTATTTAGCTCAGAATCAATAATTCTAATAATGGTGAATTTTTGGACGTGATGTATTTGTTTTATTTTAGTATGAATTATTTTTTATCAAATATATTTAATTTTTTTAAACTTACTGCTTTCAGTGAAAGAAATTGTATTATAATTCCTGTATGTAGACTTTATTGAGCTACTGTATATATGTATATTAGAGGTGTCCAAAAATATGAATTTTGCTCGTTAGTGTCTAAAACTGGTGTAAAATTTTAGCCAAATCGGATAACGGTTATCTCTTATGCTTCAAGAGACACATATTTAGGTTCGCATTTTTGAACCCTCTACCACCATCAGTGGTGATAGAGGTTATATATAAATTTGTCATTCCGTCTGTAACACCAAGAAATATTCATCTGAGACCCAACAAAGTATATATATTCTTGAACACGCTCACGTAAAAACGATGCTAAATAAATTAATGAAATTCGGCCAAAAGATTCACTATTGTCCTAGGCAGTTTGGTATTAAAAATGAGCAAAATCGGTTTACATCGGATAGAGTTATGAATCAAAATTTAAAAAACTTCAAAAAAATTAAGCTTTTTTAACACATTCTAATACAGCTTTCACAAAAACTATGCGATATAATTTCATAACAATCAGCACACAATAGTTTCCATATGAAAGCTTAATTCCTGTTAAAAATGGGCGGAATCGGTCCACATTTTCATATACCTCCCATACAAATGTACATATTCCCGGAAAATGCATTAATTGTTAATAACTTCCGGTAGAAGGACAATATCTTTACAAACTTTTACAAGTAAAAGTTTTATGTCAATTGAATTCATACAGAGGAAAAGTTTTCTGAATAAGTCCATAATTGGCCGTATATATACAACGGATCCCGAAAATCTAAATTTCCTTAAATATATACCTGGAAATTATTAAATATCTTTAAAGCATATTTTAAGGCGCTATTAAATATTATAGAAAATCGTGTTTATAATGCTGCGAAAAAAACTTGCAATTGTAACAGATTTAAAATATTTAAATCTTTGCTTGTTGTATTAGAAAAGAAATTTAAAATATGATTTAATTTAAAAATTAGCGCATTTATGTAGAATTTGCTTTAATTCCGTTATATTATAAAAATTTTGGATGAAAAATTCATTATCCGAAAGAGTGTTTATATTGTGTGTTTTTAAGTGAATTATGGACGTTCTGAAGGATATTTTGTATGGGGGTTAGGGTTAGACAGATGTGTATGGAAGTCATGTCAGGTTATTTGTTTATAAGGACACACAGATGGAGAGACTCAGATTGTGATTCTAAGTGATTCTAAGCCGATACTTGAAGGTGTGTATAGGATCAATATTTTTGGACGTTAAAAGTCATCGGCACAAATGCCCCACTATAGTAGTGTAGATTTTAAAAAATGATTAGAACTAAATTAAAATTTAATTTCATAGTTTTACAGATTGAGCCTAGTTATTTTTTCTTAAGTAAATATCAAATTTATTGTAAAAATATGTAATACAAAGAAATCAAAACACAATTTTTGCTAGAAAAATAAAAAAAAATGCAAAATATGCAATAAAAATATGAGAAATATGCAAAATATGTGCAATTTATGCGTTTATAACAAAATATACAACAACAAATCGATGCTATTTTGTAGCAAATTCTTTGATTCGAAAAGAAAATAGTTAAAAGTTATTTGAGTTACTGACTACAAACATGAATTTGCATAGAAATCTTTGCCCTGATAATGACATTAAAAATAAATGAAATTAGAAATATTCTCGAAGGGAATTTTCTTGATATTGTTGGTATGTGCGAAACATGGTTGAAACCACGCAGAAGTGATAGACTAAGACCGGCTAGAGCTGGTGGTGTGGCTTTACTTATATCAGAGAATATTAAATATAGAGTCATTTTACATTTGTTTTTGCACAGGGAATAAAAATTGTATTAGGTGTTATTATTTACCATTGCCATATAGCCATTTGAAGAATCTGTCGAAGAAATTATTACCCGGTATTCTAACATTTGTATTATGGGTTATTCGTCAAATTTATTGAGTTCGTCTCTCACAGTTTCTACATCTGGTCAGATGCAATGTCCTGGTGTATCACACCATTCAATGATTTTTATAGCTCTTAACATTCCATGTTTTTCTTCACAGCAATATGTAACTTATTTGAATTATAAAGCCCTTAGTATGTTATTGGAACAAACCTATCGTTCTTTAGATTTTAGTGGAATGTACTTAACATCAAATGTTAATATTTAATTGCATGAAAAATATACATTCTTTACATTCCCTGGTTCCATTTGTAAGACGTAAGGTTGTAACTAAGGCTGATTGTTGATTCAATTCCCCGGAGATTGTATATCACATCTCAATTCGAGGTTATTTTGCTGAGGTATTTATTGGCACTACTAATGTAGAATTTAAAAGAGTTGTTAAAATATTTAATAGAATAGTAAGATTTGTGTATGGACTGAGACTGCGGCCCAGTATTTCTCCTTATGTATTACAATTTCTTGGGTGTTCGTTTCAAAATTATATTAATGTCAGGATTTTACTGTTCTTTTACAAAACTATGGTAGGTAAATGGCTTTCCTGAATATATTGTAGATAATTTTAATTTTAATCATTACAGCTGGAACCCACAATTATTATATCCCCGGTTTAATTTAAGTATATAAATATAATAATTCATTTCAGATTAGAATGTCGAAGATGTGGAATGACCTGCATAGGGATTTGAAATTTTTCTCGGCTTCGCCTCTCGGTTTTAGGCGAAAACTTCAAAAATATGTTATTGACCATGAACTTCGATTGGTGCACTTGTAATTACCGTTCGAATTTTCTCTTTCAACTTGTATTCATTGGTAATATAAAAGAATTGTTTTTATTTTATTTTTATTATTTTTTTATATATCATTATAATATTTTTTATTATACGTTTACTACTTTTTCTAAAAATGTGTTATAATTATTGTTGTAGTAGCTTTTTATAACTATATAGGCCTAAAAGGCTCTGTTATAATAAAATAGGAAATAAACAAGTTAGAGTGCTATATTCGACTATACCGAATCTTAAATACCCTCCGCCAGCAAGCTACTTTTCATTTACTATCTAATTTTTAGATAACTTGACAAAATGTTTGTTTCCGTAGTGAGGGTACTAACATTTATGCATATGTGGAACTAATTTTGATTAGGTTCATAAAATTTTATATTAATAGGCCAGTTGCAAACATTTTAATATAATGATTTATCTATACACAAACATACTCATGTCAAATTTTACCTGGATATAATCATTTAATAATGAATTAAGTGGTATTAAATGATTTTCAGAAGTAAAATTCCGTATAACGATTTATATATGGGCAATTCCATGAAAAGGTACACCACCACAAACGATGTGTCACGTACGATATTCAAAAATGTTTATTATAAAATTATATTAATTTAATTTTTTTGTTCCTTTTTAAAAATTATGGATTACGAATAAAAAATATGTCCCAGTGTAAGAAGTTAAAACAAACAAGTAAGAGTGCTATATTCGGCTGTGCCGAATCTTATATACCCTTCACCATAGTGTATTTAAAAAATATAAATTTTATAAAATTTAAATTTATTTCATTTTCC